TATATATATATATCCTCTAGCCAAAGATGTTTTATGGAATTTAAGTCGGACTTTGGCTACACCACTTCAAAACTTTAATTTTGTTTTATTTCAAAAAATTCTTTACAAGTTGAGAAGAAAGCTTCGGACTGTTATTTTGTTAAAACATTCAACTTTTGGACATTTTTTTTACCATAAAACAGTGTACGTTCCTTTAAGATGTCTCTACAAATAAGTCAATCCATTACTTGTCTCTCAGAATTGGGGAATCTGTCTCACTTCTGGAAAAAGCACCTTCGGACAATTATGCTTCCTTTACTATGCTTTACTGTGGGTACTTGATACCAGAAAGAAACCTGAGAGAGGAAATAACTAAAATCAAATTAATAGAAATTTCAACGATTTCAACAATTTATTTCCATCAGGAGTACTGCAAAAAATGGATATTGTTGTGTAGTTTATATCCACTTCTTCAGAGGACAATAATGCATGAATGCATTTTGAAGCTACAAGAAGGAGGCACTCATGTCCTTTCTTAGGTCTCTTTCTGTTGATACCGAACATCATTTCTTTTATTTCTAGGATAGCAAACATATTGGGATGCCATCAGAGGAAAAGAGATTGAATTTGCTTTTATCACTCCGTAAGACTTTAGCCTAATCATCTTTGTCCATGCCAAATATTTCTTTGCAAGTGCAAGCATAGTCTTTCGATTTTTTGCGCTAATCATTCGTTTCTTAAATAAGGTCCTCCCATTTAAACCCACAACTGCCAAGCAACGTTTCAAAATTTAAACAGCTATTATATATAATTAAGTAGCTTATAAATAAATTTTCTTTCTAAATCATTCCTTATTTTCTTATCTAATTTATGCGGATCAGCATTTGATTTCATTCGGATGATTTTTTTCCATTCTTTCTGTTGTCTTATGTGGTCAATCGTTGCGTGGTTTGTTGTTTACATTTTCAGTTAACCTTCCTTTTTTACACCAGACAGACAACTGCAAACTGGATTTCCTTAATATGTACGGCGTTTAAAATACACTCTTTCAAATCTACTGGAACTATGCGTTTTGATATTGTTAAACTTAGGTAAACAAATACCTACATACATAAACATTTTATTACACACTTGTATACTTGCTATTTGTATTAATTATTGGCAATACAAAATACATATGATTCACCTTACTATAAATATTTGTTGAGAAATAAAGAACTAATCTTTCAATATACGATTTCAGTAGCACAAATCGAATTTTACTCTTTCCTGTGACAACAACGCCACCAATGTTTACATCAAATTAATAACGTACGCAGGTATATTAATAGAAATAGGTATATTAATGAATAAAATGTCTTGAAAAATACTTTTCGAGTGCTACTGTATATGCATTTACACCCAGATAACATTTATGTTGCATAAGATATCTAAAAGACGTCTTTTAAACATCTTTTAAACATAAGACATCTAAAAGATGTCTTTTAGATATCTTACGCAACATAGATGGATATAAATACATTTGCGCAATACTTACTCTCGATAACGAAAATGACTGCTTTTAAGAATTTTTAAAAACAACTGTGTTTTTCTCCTCTAATTTTCTTAATTTTCAAATGATAAGATACGACAACATCCCTTTAAAAGGAAGTTCTCAGTTTCTCAAACGCCAAATATTTTTCAGAAATTTACACATGAGTTGGTTTTATACTCGAAGTAGAAGAATATAACTTTATAGAGAATTAATATATTCGCGCACTAAATATAAATCGTGTTGCGATTGATAGTGACAATGCGGGCGTTGTATACGTTATTAATTTTGATAGCTATCGAAGGCGTTTTTGAAAGAGCAGTAAGTACACACCGCAAATTGATACATCTTAATATTATATTCAATTTTATAAATAAAAATCATTTAGATCATTGTGTCGTTCTTAACAGTTTATCGAAGCAAAACCATATGAAGTTAAAAGAGATGGGAATCCTTCCGTAAGTAGAAAATAAAAAATTTAAAAGATAAAAAAGAATCTTTTAATAGTGTATCTTAGCTAACGCTAATCATTCATAAAAAGTTTGATTTATACATAGAAAGAAAGAATATTTTTATTTTAAAATATCTTCATTTTCAAAGTCTTAAAATAAGATTGTATAGATTTAAATCAATATAATTTGTTTACATAAAGAAATTTTATATGATTAAACTAACACTGTTAAATCTGTAGTGTCAAATTTAAGAAATGAATGGCTATCTGGGACTATATAGTGTAAATTTAACACGTTATAGTGTCAAATTTAATTATTATTTTAGTAAAAAATAATGATGTGATTGAGTAGGAGCAGTGCCGACTCACATTAAGTTAAATTTGACACTATAGATTTAACAGTGAAGAAAAATATATTCTCTTTATTTATAATAATTTTTGAGAGGAAAAAAATATCACATAAAAAATATAATCTTCAAATTGAGAATCAAAATTTCTCTATTAAAATTAAATAATTTTTATTTAACTATGTTTTAAAATAAATTGTTCATACTATTAAATTGTCTCATCAAAAATAAGCTCGTTCATCTCATACATGGCTCAGCCACGTAGATGGACACGTTACTTGTAAGAAAAAACGCCCAGAAATCTTATAAAATTGACACAATGCTTGTTGTTCTGCTGGATTTTTAGCTGGATTAGAATTTTGCATATTGACACAGTACTAACAGTACCAGCATCGTAGTTAATACAGTGACACGAGGTGGCAAGAATCTAGCTAGTAATTCAGCAAGAAAATAAGTATCGTGTGCCGGCAGCTTAAGGAGGAGTATGCAAACAAAGTTGGCAAGTCTTCTGGAGATTTCCAAGCTTTTTTAAAGTAGCTTTCGGGGCCTTAAAAAAGTTGTAACCGTTATGTATATAATAACGTATAAAAAAATTTGTACTAGATATTTCAAAAAGATTAATGTTTACTTCTAATCTTGCAGCATCGTCAAAAAAGTTATATAATTAAAATTAAAATAAAAATTTTTTGTTCTAACACTCTCTATAATTTCAAATATGTTATTCAATAAAAACGTTCATCTTATTAAAAGAGATTTAATGTATGTTTGACACGCATAAAAATAGAATAAAAATAATTATTTTATCTTCTTCGTATGAATCTTTTAAATAAAAAGAAAATCCTGTTATTATCAAAATAATCATATTGTGCTTTTTAAATAACTATTATAACATAGATATTAAAATATAATATTGTTGAAATTGTTTTATTAAATTCTTTAAAAAAGACTTTATATATTATTGCTTACATGGAAAATAATGACTGCGTTAGTTTTAGGAAGAAATACGTTAGATATCAAAGTAAAATTAATGATCGGTATCACTCTTCTTACGCTAGTGTAACTTACACACAATTAAATATAGAAACTACCCAAGTCATAAATTTAAAGCTAGCGAGCTATATTAGGTGTATAATGTGATAATGTTTATTTTGTTAAAATCTATAAATTTTACGGAACGTTTCGACTTCGCTTAGTCCTCATCAGCAGTGAATATAAATTATAACCTAGTACAATAAAAAGTCCCGTACAATAAAATTAACATATAATAAAATTGACACTCGAATATACAAGTACAATGTCATAGATCCCGTACAATAGAATAAAATTAACGCATAGTAAAATTAATTCAAGATATGACATTTGAGCATCAATTTTATTATGCGTTAATATTTTGCGTTATTTTACTATTACTATGTGTTAATTTTATTTTATTTTACAGAGTCTATGACATAGCATATTCAAACGCCAATTTTATGCGTTGATTTTGTTGTACAGGATTTTTCACTTACTAGATTATAATTTTTATCTATGGCTTATGAGAACTAAGTGAAATCAAAACGTTCCGTAAAATTTATAGATTTAACAAAATAAATGTTATCACATTGTACACCTAATATAGCGTTTTAATTTATGACCTGAATTGGATATGTTAATCATAATTGGTAAAAATTTTTTCTGTGTAGTTTCAATTTGCTGAATATTTTGAAATAGCAAAAAATTTTCACAGAATATTTAAATAAAATGTTCGGAATGATATATGAACTCGCTTTTTGTTATATGTATGTCTACAGGGTGTAAGTTTTTGCCAATCGCTTTTGTATAGATAGAGACTAAACTGAAATAGTCTTCTACCATTTTGCAATTTTCACAATGGTTAACGAGATACTAATTGCTAAAAATCGTTAAATATTAGTTTTCAATAATTTTTTACTCAAATACTATTAATTTTACAGAAAAACAGCGAAAAAAAAATTTAATTTCTTTTCATAAAATTCTAACCATTTTTTCAGAATTTTTTAATATCGTATTTCCTTAATTAGTAAAAATAAGAAAATGCAGTACTAAAAAATTGATAAAAAATTCTGAAAAAATTCTTAGAATTCTATGAGAAGAAAATTAATGATTTTTGTCTGTTGCAGTTTTTCTGTAAAATTGATAGCATTTGAGTAAAAAATTCAAGACTATATTCGGCAATTTTTAGTAATTAATATCTTATTAACACTATAATACAATATACGAAAATTGAAAAATGGTAAAGAACTTTTTCAGTTTAGTCTGTTCTATCTACACAAAAGCAGATGGCAAAAAAGTTATGGGACACCCTATATGAGGGTGTCAGAATGTCTCATTTTAATCGATCACCTCAAATATTTCTTAAACAGTGCATTTTAAGGAAAAATGTTTCAGACAAAAATTTTGGGATTTTGAGGGGAACATAAGATGCCATTGATTTGATTTTGGATGTTGTCGTTAAGGTCAGGACAAGATTACTTTGAATTTTTTAAACGGAACTCCCCATTTTTTATTACGTATTCTTGTAGCTTACCTCGAAAGCTTTCCAAAACACTGTAAGTTCATTTCCATTAAGTACTTTTCGAGTTATAAGGCTTGCAAGTTACAGCATCGCAGACATTAGCATTACGCAAGGTGCCCGACCGATGGTTAAAATCTCTTAAATGTTATTCAGGATTATGTTCTAAATAACATTTGTCAAGTTCAAAGTCATTGAAGGTTGTACCTCTTATTTTCATTTTTATGTAGAAATGAATTTTTAGTGCAAAATAAAAATAAGAGGAACAATCTGCAATGACCTCGATTTTGACAAATGTTATTCAGATCATGACCCTAAACAACATTCAAGAGATTTTTAATCGTCGGTCGGACACCTTGGTAATACTAATAGAGGTATTGTAACTTTTGAATCCTATATTCGAGAAGAACTTAATGAAAAAATTTTATTATAGTGTTTTGGAAAGCTTTCGAGATTTTGATAAGCTACAAGAATATGCAATGAAAAATGGGAGTTTCTATTTAAGAAATTAAAAGTGACCTTTATGTAACTTTCAAACGACTATCTATATAAGGTCAAACCAATGGTATCATCTTACATTCCCCTTTAAATACAACTTATGTCTGAAATATTTTTCCGTATCTTCCATGTTTGTTGAGATATTTGCCTGGTTCGATTAAAATGACTCTGTATATATATGTATATATATATATATGTATATATATCACTAAAATCACTCATCGCTTTAATGTACATACCCGCCGATAGAGAGCTTTTGAAGAAAGATGCATTAACTCTTAAATAAGAATCTTCAGAGTTGGCAATATAACGCGTTATATTTGTAACGTCCATTACAAGTACTTTTTTTAATAATGAATGGGTAACGACGTTACATTTTCTTCTGAGTAATATTCATGGTAACGCAATTATATTTTTGGGGTAACGGTAATGATTTCACTAGTTATTTTTATTATTACTTTATTTCTAACTACGTAAAAGTTTAGTCGTCACTGTAGCCCTAGAAAACAGAGATGAAACATTAACGGTCTGATTGGCTGTCTAAATCACGCGATCACGACGCCTTCTTACATTATATTCACAATTCACACGTTTAGATTAACTCTTTATGTATATGGTGATGAGATCACATGAAATTCTGGAAATAATCTTTACAGTATATTTAATTTCTTAAAATAAAATTTTTTTTGTGTCATATCTCACAAATTAAATATATGTATATAATGCAGATTACAAACAATATTATTTTTTTATTATAATATATAATAATATTATCCTTAGAGTATTCACGATGAGTTATGCGTATCTTGTTTCTTTTCTTCGAAATACTGCACCTGGCTAAATAATTCTTTTTATTCTTTCTTTCTTTTTAAATATACAACTTCATAAATATTTAAAAAAAAATGTTAAAATATATACAAGAATCTATTCATAATTTTTGTATATTTGCAAAAATTATGGTAATTAACGACCCATTATGCACAGTAAAAGAAAATTGTATATGTATTAAGAATTAATGTATAATTTAAAGATATTTTATTAAAAGTAATACGAGAAATAAATTTATATAACTATAAAAATTACAAAAAATGCAGTAGGTATATATTATACGAGTATGTGATATGACAGCATCTATTCATTAGAATAACGCATAATGTGTTTACTATATTTTTTTAGCTCTATTCCTCTACTAAAAAATAGAGTTTTGACATCTTTTTTACATTTATTACAAAAATCTGAATATAATATTCTATTAGTGTCAAGAAAAAAAAGTAACGACTCGTTACATTTTGAGTAACAATAACGAGTTACTTTTGCAAATCAATAACGAATAACGAAAACGAGTTATTTTTTAGGAAAAAGAACGGTAATGGTAATGAATTATTTTTATAAGATAATGTTGCCAACCCTGAGAATATCATACTTTACTTTACAAATCATATTCGTGGGACTTGATAGAATTCCGTTTATTAAAATACATTAAAGAAGTAGTGCTATTTCTGTAGAAACTAGTCTTTGAGTTAGTTGTATTCATGTGAATTGAATCATGGCACTATGATCTACCTTAACAAGTCAGAAATTTATTAAGAGAAAGTAAAAGAAAGAAATGAAGAATCCAAAGAAGGGAAGAATATAAAGAGCGCAGCATTTTACTTGTGAAGTGGATCAAAATTGGGATCTAAGATGAAAATAAAAGAAATTTGTTTTTAACTATACTTTCGTTTAAAAATGAATTCAGGGATCTCTGGACTTAGAATTTTTAGAAAAATTATGATTTTGCAAATTATATATGGAACAATCTCCAAATATGTAAAAATGTAAATTAAATTTTTAACGATTATTTAAATGTTGCTCTTATATTCTGTAAAATTTTGAAATATTTCGAAATACTGTTAGAAAGTTATTTTGGAATTTTAGAAACTTTTTATAAACTTTTTACGAATATTTATTAGATTAGCATTAGCTGAGATAATATATACAGGGTAAATTAAAAGTATTGAATGATAAAATGTCTTCAAAACAAACGATTTGAAAAAAGATATTTCATAAAAGAATTGTAAGATTTTAACAAATACATCAAATGGCAATACTTTTACAAACACCATTGACAAGCTTACAAAGCTAACTTTAAAATTTTTAATGGAAACTTCTACTTTTTATTTAATACTCTTGTAGCTCTGATATCCAAATTTTTTTAAAACGATACAATAAAACACTTTTTAGTAACTTTAAAGATATTTGATCGGTCCAATACTTTTATTTAGTCATTTGTATACCTGTTTATACATAACATAGTGTTGGAAATAATATTCTTGTAAGTAATATTTGTAACATAAAAAAAATATTTAGTTGCAATAATAAATATAATATTAAGACAATAAAAAATGATTTACAAAGCGAGAAAATTACATTAGCGTACTTATTAAAATTTATTATATTTATGTACCAACATTTATGTAATAACTCGGTAATTTTGTGTATAAAATATTATTAGTTAAATATTATTATCTAATTGGCAGTTAATAAGTTTTTATTAATTTAATCTTTTATGATGTTTTAATTAGTCTGGCAGAAATCTTAAAAATAACTTACTAAACAATATAGAAGAAAACGATTATTACAACATCAAACGTAACTATGATGACAACAATCACAAAACTTACCCTCGTTGCAACAACTACGCTAACAATAATGATGACGATGACGGTGATGATGACGACATTACCACTAACGACAATCCTACTACTGACAGTGACGACATCGACGATGATGACGACATTGTCGACATTGATGATATTGACGACATTGGCAATTATAAAAACCATGATTTTTTGGTAACTTAAAGTACCTTTATTAATTTATATATAGTAAAACCTAAGTATTATGTTATGTTTCTTTTGTATTCTTATTAGAGGTATTCCTATTTCAATCTAGTAATAATATATATAGTATATATATATATATATATATATATATATATATATATAATTATCTATATAAGTAATAATATTATATATATATATATTTTTTTTTTAAATCTCTTTTAAAAATTATTATAGATAAAATTTATTTAACTCAAGTGATATGCATCAAATAAAAAAGTATTCCAAGTAGTAAATCCAAGTAGTAGGAGAGACCGAGGATAATAAACTCATTTTTTAATTTCAAATTTTTACAGACAAAATTAAGAGACTTATTAAAAAAATAAATTTTACATCAATTACTACATACATTTGACTATTTAATAATATTTTAATAATAAGAGAAAACTGATAACTATATGAAAAAAAATGCATTTCTAATACATTCCATCTGATTAAACTAACCCCAAGAGCGGGGTAAGATGAATAATGGTATGGGGTAATTTAATTAACATTATTAAAATAAAGGTTAATGTATATTTAATCTTTACAACAAGGCTTTCATAAAAATGCATTTTAAACATGAGCATATTTATAAAATAAAAAGTATAACTTTGTACCTTGTTATTAGATAAATAACAATTTATCTAATCCGAATTATTATCCGAATTACAGTTATAACAAATATATGATTATTAGCTTTTATACATTTAGAATGTACCCACATGTGGCATTTCGTGCACTCTTCTCCTAGAATACTTTTTAAATAACTCTGTACAAACACATTTTATCGTCTGTCTCATTCAAGAATAAAGAATTTAGATTATTTAGAATATTTATGTATAAATGTTTATAAACATATATAATTTATTATATTATGAATGTTTATACATATTTATACATATTCATGCATGAAAAATTTCTTATACATGTAATTTAACTATTATTGCATATTTTTATTATTAAAATTTATTAAAACTACAAAAATTATTGCATTATAGGTATATTTAAAATAAAAGAGAATACTTTCTAAATTCTTTTGAGTAAAATTTCAAAATACAGCTATGTATGGAACATAGTGAGATGGCCTTGGTAAAATAGTTGATAGAGAACGATATGATTTTTATCAATTTGTATTGTTTTCAAATTATATTGTATTATAAATATGCATGAAATATTTTCTTAAAAAAGTATAAAAAATATATAAACGGATTTTATTTAGAGAGAGAGAGAGGTCAAATTAGAATTTAAACCTTTGGATTCGCTCCTACAGCATAAAGTTGCACAAAAATTGCTGCAACATTGTATGTTACAGCAATATTATAGAGATATTAATTCTTTGTTGTATGGGCGGGAAGAGGCGGAAAGTAGACATATGGTACAGACTACATAAACATGTTTTATTTCATACATAGGCATATCGTGAAATTTTTTTTAGAGAGAGATTTTCAATCAACCCAGCGATGTACCGTGCACTAATCGGAATGACAACCAAAAAAAAAAAGAATTTTACTATTGTATTAAAAAGAATGTCATTGCACCATTTTTATTGTTGTAATTTACAAATATGAATGTTTATAAATATCATAATTTTTAACATTAATGTATTCCATTTGAATATTTTTATAACTTTTAATATCTCCTCATACTTCATTTTGAAAAGAAATGTTACGTTTTGTATATCATGTTTTACTTCTTTTTTTAACAAATTTTTTTTAAAAAGGGTAATACAGTTACTACAAGAATGTATTAATTATAGCATATATTCTGTTTTTTGCGCGGGATAAACCTTATAGAAATTTTCCCTGCGGTTCGCATATTTTGTCAAAAAGCTCAAACGAATAGAAATATTAAAAATTATATGGTTTTAATAACGAGAAGAAAAATATATTTTATGTAACAGCAAAAAACGCACACAAAGTCAAAAATTGTATGTTTTTTACATTTAAAAGTAAAAGAGAAGCATTCGATAAAACATGTAGTACATCGCCAAAATTCTAAATAAAATATTCTCATTACTAAAGCAGTAAACAATTATTAGACCAACCGATTTGAATGTGCTATCAGGATGTACACTAACGGGACCCTCTCAAAATAAAATAATTCATAAAAAATTTCGGGGGAGGGATTTAAATCCCCAAAATCACCTTTCTGGATATGCCCATGGTGTCATATTATGATTTTTAATGAATTATTAGCAAATAAATTACTTTATTATTTTTAATTAATTACTTTTATTAGCACAAAATCACGTATTTAATTTATTAATTTATTTTACTTTTCTCTAAAAATTGTCTACTCTTAACTGATTCTTCAAACTAAAGAAAAACTTATTTATAATACTAGCCGATTCTGAAGAAAATCTTTTTATAATTTTCAATTATTTTTTTCTTTTTTTCCAAAATCAATTTCTTGTGAATGCTTGATAAACATAGTCCATAATATATAATATATATTTTGTAATTATTTTCTTTTTTTAAGGTAGAGCACGACTTCTTGCCCTTTCCCTTTGACTATCTATTAATACATACTAAGAGGTTATACTTAATTGCAAAGCGATAAAAACACGTGTCTTTGAGAATTTTTTTTGAAAAAGCTTAAAGATGTTTTGAAACAAACATAAGTATTTAAATACAAATATTTTAAGGGCAACTCTAATTTTTTATAGTAATGTATTGATAAATAAAGAGATAGGTAATCTCTTAGGATTAATTTTGTTAAAAGTGTTTTGCGGCAACGCATTTTCTACTTCAGCTACTTCATTAAAAAGCTGGACAAATTTAGTTAATATAATATATAAGATTATCTAGGGCCTGACCATTCATTTTTTTGAAAAATTAATTTATAACAAAATGGCGGCAGTTCAAAATCGAAGTATGATTTTCAAAACCAAAAAATCGCTCGTTCTTTATCGTTGAAATAAAAACGCAACGGTAAAAGATATCACAACTAGGCACTAGAACTTTTAGTGTTGAAAAAGTCTAGCAAATTTTATTATGATTAGTACAGTAGTTCCGCAAGATATTTTGGTCACCACATTTTAAAAATGTGTTAAAGAAAAAGCGTTTTAAAGTTTTAAGTTAACATTTGCAATCAAGTAAATGCAAATTTTTTAACTAACACGGAATCGTATATTCCAGGACCATATAATAAACTCTCCAAATGAATTGCAGCCTCCAAAACTTTAATTTAAATTTATTGCCGAAGTATTCTTGTCTCTTGAATCCTCTACTGCATGCAAAGCAGAAAATCAAAATTTTAATAAGCGTAAGGTCTTCTTTTTCGATATGAACATTCGGGCTAATACTTATTCCAATAACCTAAGCATTGAGAAATACAACATTATGTTCGTTAAATATAGGTACTAGCAGCGATATAAACAGCTGTTTTAACGATCTTACTACAACTTGATTTTCGGATTAATTTTCCAAATTGGTTGATTCAAGCACTTTGTATAGACTCGTATAATTACATAACACAAATATAATGTATTGGTATAAAATATATAACTCACATGATCGTAGAAAGGATCTGCTTTTGTGCAGTTGCCATTCTATACCTGATATATGTTTAAATTTGCATAACTTCGTCAATTTTTGTCCGATAGATTTCAAATTTATAGAAAATATTTTAAAGGTACTTTAAGAAAATGTCAAAACCTAAAAATCAACTATTTTAAAGTTTAGAAGTACGTATAACACATAACAAAAACGTTTCTTGTGCTACTCAAGTAGCACAAGACGTCTATGGACATCCATTTTATGTCCATTTTACTTCTATACATCCATGGACATGAAATAGATGTCATCCCATTTAAGACGTCCATTAATTGGACGTAGGTACAGAATGAACACAGAGGATGGCCAGTATTCGATGTAATCCGAAGTTGTGAAAACAAACATCGAGAGCAAACTTATTAAAATTTATTATTTATTTCTTTGAAAATTTTGTGCATAAAGTATTATTAGTTAAATATTATTAGCTGAATTAGTACATCAATCTTTATTAAATTAATATTCTACGTTCTTTTTAATTAGTCAGACAGAGAAGCTAAAAATAGCATACTAAATATGGAAGAAAAGAATTACGAAAACGTCAAACGCGACTACAATGACGACGACGATGACGACAATGACGACGACTACGACGGCGATGACGACGACGACGACGACGACGATGACGACGACGACGATGATGACAATGACGATGACGATGATGACAATGGCGATGACGATGACGATGACGACGACGACAATGATGATGATGCTAATAACAACGTCGACGGCGACAATGGCAACAATCAAAACAGCCACGGTATTAACGGAGTTCGTGACTGGGTAAGATTAAATAAATAAAAATAAATTATACAGAGAGAGAGAGAGAGAGAGAGAGAGAGAGAGAGAGAGAGAGAGCAAATTATACATATGTAAATTCGACAAATAGGAAATAGAAAATAATGGCTATAACGCTCAAAGTTAGATTTTTTTAATACTTAAATAATTTAATGTGAATTAATGTATATATGTACATGCATATACCATATTTCTAATCATTCAGACGTTATTTCCATATATATATACATTGATTATTAAGAAGAATATTAAAAGGTCTCGGTAGCTTAAAGACTTAAGATCCGTTCGGATGGAATGTTAGAAATCCGGGTTCGAATCTCGGCTAAAATAATATTTTTTGCAATAAATAAATTTATTTACAGATTTCCAGCAAAAGAATTCTTTAATAAGTGCCTAATCAATTTAATTGTTATATTATTTCAGCAGTTTAATTGCATTTTTAAATTCGATAAAATTTCAGCGCGCAGGTCGAGTGACTACAAATATGGTATATATGTATTGTATGTACATACAAAGTGCCTATAAGATCTGTTATCGTTCCTATATTTTGGAAATGATTCAAAATAAAAAAAAATCGCGAAATACGTGTTCGATTATTTGGAGAGGCTACTTTTTTAAGAA